GAGAGAGGGAGAGAATGCACACACAGAGAGAGAGAGAGAGAGAGAGAGAGAGAGAGAGAGAGAGAGAGAGAGAGAGGAAGAGGAAATGAATAACAGCTTCACCGCCAAAAGCACAAATGGAAGGCTTCGGTCGCGATAGCTTGCCTCACGGAGGGAGAAACACAAGGGAGAATTTCAAAGAGAATATAGAAGGAGGGGGGGAAAATGAAAAAAGAAAAAAAAGCTTGCCTCCTATCTAGATCAGGCGCGCGACGTCCTCGAAGACGTTCTTCAGAGGTTGGCCAAGTCTTGTCCTCGTCGGATCGGGAGCTCTTTGTCAGATCCGGACGCCCCCGTCCCTTGTTTTTTTCCCACGTAAGCAATAAGACCGAGCGAGATCGATGGCGCTGACTAGAGTTCGAACCCATAGAACGCCCGGTCATTATAGCCGTATCTGGTGCAATTTTCAGTCCAGATTCATATATCTAATGCCTGGGCGATCTAATTTGGGAGAAGACGGTAGAGTCCTTAGATACAGATCATCAATTAACTACCTCATCACGCAAAGTCGCCTCGCGGCCAAAATCGCGCAGCGGTCGCCACGTGGCCCAAATCTCTCTACGCAGTGTTGCCACGTGTCAGAAGCATCACAACTTTCGCCACGTGGCCCAAATCTCAAACAGAGCATACTCGCACTAACTCCTTTTTACTCATTCATTTCTGGACCGAATTGCGGCCAGATGCATACAAGTCCGCCCGTAAATGCGGTCAGGTACATTTAAGATAGTGGCATGTGCCACGTCGCTGAAGATATGCCGCATTTCGAAATCCAGACCTGCAACGTCGGCACGTGGCCAAACTCTCACACAGTGAGGCCACGTGGTCAAATTTAGATAATGGCGCCGCCTGTCCCAGATCTCATACAGTGTTGCCACGTGGCGAAAGACAGTGCATCTACAGCTCCAAACCCCACCATTAGGTCGCTCAAGGAGTAATAACCGTGATGACAGTTTTCACCTACAAGATGGATTTACCGAGGTGGGAAAAAGAAAATTATCTCGATGGATGGAGTGAGAGTAAGTTTTCAGGGCGGCGGCGGACCTGGGGCCTTGCTCCACTACACAACGGTTTACATGCATTTGGACGATATCTTGTCGAGGTGCATGCCGACAGGTCCAAACCTTCGAATGTCGCCGGCCCAGATAGCGTCCAAATGCATGTAGACTACTGTGTAGCTCCACTACACAAGCGTTTACATGCATTTGGATGCTATCATGTCCAGGTGCATGCCGACGGGTCCAAACATTCCAATGTCTCCGGCCCAGATAACGTCCCAATGCATGTAGAGTACTGTGTAGCTCGACTACACAACCATTTACATGCATTTGGACGCTATCATGTCCAGTTGCATGCCGACGGGTCCAGACATTATAATGTCTCCGGCCCAGATAGCGTCCAAATGCATGTACAGGAGTGTGTAGTTCCACTACAGAACGGTTTACATGCATTTGGACGCTATGTTGTCCAGGTGCATGCCGAGGGTGAAACTCCAGGTGCATGCCTAAATGAAATTTTACCCGGACCAGGGTCAGTATCTTTTAATTCGTGCAAGCGGGACCTAGCCCCAGGTGCCTGTGTGGTGCAAGGGCCACAGGCGCTGCAGGAGGATCTCAAGTCATGTTGCGTGGGAAGTGTGAGTTCATGCTGCTCAAAAAAAAAAAAAAAAAGGGCTAGAGGGAAAATGTTAGATAGATGGAGCTCACCATTTAAATGGGCTTCTTTCTCGAACGAGGGAACCTGGTAATTTCCAGGCACCTTTGGGACGAGGAGGCTGAACCGGCCCAGGTATTGGAAGATTTAGAAGAGTACTAGAACTCCTCTTATCTCAACTCAGATCCCAGAAGAGGCTAGCCACGGTTCTTCCTTCTGGTAGTCTCATGGACTGAGAGGTCCTTACAGGATAACAGTTTGTAATGTTGAGTCTGTGTAATATGGGACGCTGGACCCGTTTTCCAGCAGGTGCAGCTCCCCACCAATAGATGGAGTTAATGTTTGTTAAAAA